AGACTAGCTCTTTTGTGAGTGGAAAATTTATTTTTGCATCATGAGTGAGATAATTGTGATTATTATAAGAAAGCATCTATCCAGCTCAGTTAAAGCTGGATTTATGGAGAAGTCAATAAAACATTTTTTGAAGTAGTAACTCTTGGTTATCAAAGTCCAGTCTGATGTCACTCTACATTGTACAAAGAAAAGAGTAAAATTAATAGGGCAGTAGTGGATGGAGCAAGTAGCTGTGAGTCACTGGGTAGTTCTTGTATGCTGGAATAGACACAACGCTTGCCTTTGAGATCGCTGATTAAGACAGAGCGTCTCATGAGCAATGTACGTTTGTATTGTGTGCTCTGTTCTGAGCTCTGTCTTGGTTTTGTTGTAATTGAATTAATGTAATAGAAATAATTGTTAATTTTTCTCTGCTTCTGGCTTTAATTCCAGGGCAGAGTAAGTATGCGTGCGGGTTGCCTGCCATGTGTCCGTTTCTACTGTCATGTTTTGAGAATTGCATTTGGCTACTGAGTGTTGCAGATTGATAATGCAAGGTGTTCCTATGTGCTCTGTGCTGTGGCATTTATTCCGTTTAGTTTTTGAAATACCTACTTAATGCTCTATCATCTAACATTTACACTTGAATTTTCTGAAACTTATTTTGAATTACTTCAATTATTGTACACCAATAAATGGCATTAACATAGTAATTTTTTGCATCTGTAGGAGGTTGAACTAAGACTAAGATTCTGTTTCACTGCCAGGCTAGATTTTGTTTCAGGCCTTTTAGGCTCTCATAGTCTGCATCTTAAATCATTCTCAAAAGCGTCAAACAATGAGTATTATTATTCAGAAGTCTCCAGGAAATATACACATCCTTTTTCCAGGTTGTAAACAAACTGAAATTCGAGAGAAAACAGACTGTTCCAGGAAACGGGCTATTTGTTAGGAGTCTCGTTCTTTCCATGTTCTTTCCAAATGTGCCCCCGTCTCTCCTTTAAGCTGTTTTGTCAAGTCTTAATTTCAGTCTGGCTTAGATCATTCTGCTTTGACCGTAAACTCTACAGAACGGAGCCCGGTTTTGGACTGTGATGGTACAAGTCAGAGCTAGCGGGTATAGTTGGCATGTGTCAGAAGTGGAAACCCTAACCTAGCAGGCTTTAATCAGTATAACAGAGCATCTAAGCTAGAACTTTGAACGAACTTCAATCCATTTAAGGACATCTTTACCTCAATCAGAGTTATGCCAACTGTTTCATGAAGTGTAGCACGCTTTTCCTTTAGATAAGTGACATGAAGAAAAATCTGAAAGCATCAAAGTTTAACCTTTTTAGCTGAACCGCTTTTTGGTACAATATGACATGTGCATATCTACTCTTCCTCCCATCTGATCTGAGGCAGGGAAGGGGAAAAAAAATCTTGTAGTGAAATATGCGGGATTCTTCTCAGCTGTTAAAGGTGAGCTTGGAATGTGCATGTTCTGAAATCTTTGTTACCACAGGCACTGGTAAACCTGTGTTATCAGGGTGGTGTTGTTATTAAGGTGATTGTTGGCATATGTCGTACAACTGAGGTGTGCCTGTTTAGGTAATTCAGCATCAATATTGCCACTAGACAGACTTTGTTAAAAAGCAAATCGAAGCTAGTAAGACATAAGGGATTTTGCTAAATGAAAGTTCATGAGGCTGTAAGAAAAAAGGAGGTTTTAGGGGAACCTGGGTTTGATCAGCTGTTCTAGGGAAGGCAATTCAAGATCTGGTTCATTAGATCAGTCTCTAAATTAAATTCAGTTCCCTGCAAGGTTATCAAGAATCAGAGTAATTCAGGTTGGAAGGGAGCTCTGGAGATCATCTATTCCCACCTCCTGCTCCAAGTGGGTCCAAGTAGAGCAGGTTGGAATGTCTCCAAGGATGGAGACTCCACAGCCTCTCTGGGCCCTTGTTCCGGTATTTGACCAGTAGCATTATTTATTTAAATAACTACATAAATTGCCTTTTATCTGACTGGAATTTCCTGCTCTATTTCCTCTAGTCCCGTCGCAGTGCGCCTCCAGAAAGAGTCTGGCTCCCTCTTCTCTATACTCTCTCACTTGGTAGTTTTAATGCTGCCTAAACATAGTAGTCTAGATATACAGCAGTAAGATCTCCTCTTAACCGTTTCTTAAGGCTGAACAAGCCCAGCCAGCATCTCTTTCTAATGCTTTTAAATAGTCCCATTTATTCCTGCATTAGATTCTCACCTGTCCTTGAAAATTAGCAAAAGCTTTAAACAAAGCTGAAGATGAGGGGCTTTTTTTGTGCTCTTGTGCATTTTTCTTAGACTGTCTGTGACATTGTGCGCAATACCTATATTGATATGGAGAATTTCTCAGAAAATCTGGTACACAGTACACCTTCTTTTGTCCTTTAGTAATTACATTTGTAATCAGCGTTGTTAATGGTGATATTCACTTCTTACTTTTTTCTTAATTCTTTCCATCATGTGAATTATTAGAATTTTCTCACGATAACCATTGATGCCACTGATTTTTTTTTAAATGGAAAACTGATATCATTTAGAAATCAAACAGACCAGCAATACAGAACACTATCAATGAAATATATTCTTATGAACTAAAATGTGACTTTGTACCTCCATGAAATGCTGTCCTTTAAACTATGAGGCAATACTTTTGTTTTTCTTATTAACGTAAGAGTGTTCAGGATTGAAATATAAAGGGATCAAATTGTACAAGAAGTCTGTGAAATTGTGTATCTTGGATCACACTGTTGTGATGTGGAGCGTAGATCCACTTTGAAAGCATTTGTGTTCTTTCCTCTGCTGTAAAGAAGTCCTGAATTGAGAGGCAGGTAAGGAAGCAAAAGTAAGACTTTGGCGTCTACAATTTTCTTATCTCAGCTTATGTTTAAACTAGTTTTGAAAGGAGAAATTTGGCTAGTGCTTCGTGAGAACACTTTAGATAGGAAAAAACACTCACTGCAAAGTACATGCATTAGAAAGTGAGGAATGCTGCTGTCTAAATTAGGGGATTGGGGTTCCCAACTCAGTGCAGCTATGAGTCAGTTTAGCAGAAAGTTTAATCTTGTATGGCCCCCAAGCTAGTACATGTATTAGATAAAATTGAGTATGTCGAACATATAGCATGAGTCAGCCCTTCAACATAGAGCCCTTTCTTTAGGGAAATACCTAAACGACTTTGCTTACTACCGTTTTCTGAATTCCTTTCCCCCTCTGGGCCCCGAATGTATTGGGAACGTTTAACGTCTCCGTGAGTATTTCTCTTCTCTTTTGAATCACAGTAGTTACGAATCATCTTATTTCGTGCTGCAAATAAAGCAGAAAAGTCCTCAAGTAGTTGTGCACCTAGCATTAAAACACCTTTGTGTGAAGGGAGCACGACAAAACAAGTCAGAAGTGGCATACTCGAATTTTACGAATATTTTTGTTAGATGTTCTTCCAAACGTCAAAAATACTTTCTGGCGTATAGTGTTTAAAGACTTCTGGAACTGCTCACGTGGTTATGGCTTAAGCTTTTACTAACATCATATTCAGATATAAGGAGCCTATGGAAATCTGTAGGGGTTCATTAATTTGATAGTACTCTGCTCTTGCTACTACAGCTATATAATTAAGGAGGAGCAAGAGGGTCCACCGATAGAGGCGAACATGCTGAAGTCTTGCTGCTCTTGCTATTGATACTGTTGTCAAGAAAAAAGGACTGGAAGACCACAGTAGTGTCTGGAAGAAGTCTGGAGGGTGTTGCTAAGCTCACGCAAACGCTGGAGCAAATTCACTATGGATGGAAGGAGCTGGGAGGGAGGAGGGCGCTCGGGGCCTGGAAAATATCCATGGGAATGGTGTAAGGCCTGCAAACATCTCTGAGCAGCTCTATCTTGCTGTTATGGTAGCACTTGGGCTGCTTTGCCTTGTCTCATTGGATGTGTTTTGTACTAGACTCTATGTACGTATGTCTGCAGTAGAGAGAAAATGTTACACCAAAATACCCTGAGCATTAACCTGCAAATTGGTTAAAATAATGGCATGCTACCTTAAAAAACACTAAAGGCTGTTTCTACTTAAGCCCTCTTTAAACCTTATACTGCTTTCTTATTCTCTATTTAATGAATGTTACAGTGATTGGGGGAGCATTTCTGAAGTGTTTGCTCCTCGCAGTGAAGCTGAACTCTTTTCTATATGTACAAGATGAATAGGTATAGCTTGAGAACTGCCTTTTACGTCCCTCCACAAATTGTCTGCTACCAGTAATTTGAGTTACTTGCATTTATATGAGTCTTGGTTGCCATCACTGGGAGTGAAGTAGTCTGAAGGGCAGTGGCAGACAATTTCTATTTCTGATTTAATTATATTCCTTTATATATAGGGACAGCATGAATCACAGATTTTTGTCTACACCCTCCAAAATGTTTCTGCGTCCACCCACCTATTTGGACGCTGTGAGAGCTAGTATTTCAAAATAGACAAATGTCTGTCTAATAGAGCAGTATTAGCTGCACTAGTCAGAGTTGGTTTTGATTCATGTTCTTTTGGGCTTCTTCCTTCAAAATTGCTGTAAAACAGCTAAGGCCCTCACTTTCCTTTCTAAGCAGTTTATGAGGCCAGGTGAAATCCATTGTGACAGTAGGTATGCTGGGAAGATTTGCTGTTGGCCTGTCCCTCTGCAGTCTTGTGAAGCTGTGAAAATACTGAATAGAAGATTTTCAGTTGTTTTACAAGTGTTCGTGTTCTGTATTAAATTCATTGAATAGCAAATGGATACAGCTCCCTTTTACAAACAAAACAACCTTAAGGTAGCTTGTCAAGTTGTGCAGTACTCGACCCTGGGTATTATTATTGTGTGCTTAATGTATGCTGTACATTAAGAGAGTTGTCACTCGTTTGTTTTAATCATTTGGAGTGCCAATATCTGTATTTTAAAAAAAAAAAAAAAAAGGTATTACCACCTTGAGTTCCAATCTTTTTTTCTCCTTTCATTTTTGGTTTATTCCTTCCTCTTATTATGAATGTTCTCTTATTTCAGAGTAATTGGTCTGGAAACTCCCATGACTCAGTTCAGCCAAGGAGAGTGGTCATTTCTCACAACATGGATAAAGCGCTGAAAGAAGGTGAGTCTTAACTGGGTCAAGGGAGCATTAGACACTGTCTTTTGGCCTCTTAGCAAACCATGACTCCATAGTATATGATCCTGATTTCTTTTTCCATGATTTAAAATAAATGTGGAAGGTCTTGGTCTTCCCAAGAGGTCCATTGTAGTAAGTAACATGATGTTGTTTTTGCAGTTTAACTGACATCTTATCATTTTAGCTGCTAGGGTGGTTTTTTTCAGTTTGTTGTTGTTTTTTTACAAAAACATGAAAATAAGAGTGAAAATTGAGTCCCTAACGCTTGTAAATCAAACACAAGGATAACATTTCAAGGATTCTTGATCGATTTCTATGAACTGTTAAATCTAGTAGACTCTTGCAAATAATCTTCCCATTTAGTGCAATTTTTTTTGCATGAAGACTGAATCTGAAATCGTACTTTTGTACTTCTGGCAGCTGTAACTTCTGAAATCTGTGGAACACAAACGCAGTCACTGGCACTTTAGATTATAAAATGTGAACTGGTGATCATTTGCACTTTGGACACTAAAATTGCACATAAAGATTTAAAATATTTTGTTTATGCTAAAAAAAGAACAGCAACTTCTGTATACATTTTCTAGCTGATTCTCTGATATTGCAAAACTGTTTTAGAACTTCGAATAGTGTCAGAGTTTGAAGCAATTTTTTCTGTTTGTTACTCCAAACATTACGGTAGGTTGGAACTGCTGGAACTTAGAGAATTAAAAAAAATTGTTTGACTGGTGTGTTAAAAGAAGAGAGCACTGAGAGTTGTGTACTGTAGCTCTTGAAAAATAGTGTTTGGAATAGCTTCGTATTTTGTGAATACTGTATCTAGCTTTGAATATTTTTTTTCTTTAAGATTTCTAGGCAGTAGTGTTATTTTTTCTTTTTTGCATCTAAAGCTTATATTTAAAACTAATGATGTTTTTCCAAGTATGTGTGTTGAAAAATTTATGCATATGTTTAGTTTAAACAGGTTGGTTGTCTTAGGAAAACTTCTTAGAAATTGCCATGTTTTTAGAGATACTTTTATGAATAGCAGTTAGCAGGATACGTAGCTAAAAATCTAAAATTAAAATGGCTATACTATAGCACGCTTCTATTTCTGTTAGTAAACTCTTATAACATGATCATAGCTAACTATTATATTATATTAGGCAACGTTTTTACCTCGATTCTGTCGGACTGTAGGATTCCTGATGACATATTGGAAAGAATGGCGGAGTATGAACACTGCATATCTCAAACAAGCATAGTCAAGTTATTTGCTGTTTTTCCACATGCATACTTTGCATTTGGGATACCTACATTGGAATTTGAAAAGAAACCTCTATGCAACCAGCAAAAAAATCGGAGGTAGTGGGATAGTTTGGAGAGAGACAGCAGTTATGGTAGAATATTGGGGGAAAGAGAGTTATGTTAAACTTCCCTTCTGATACTTGCATGTAAGAGAAACTCGTGTGTTTGCAAAAACATGACATCTCTTTGTCCGAGTCATTTATTTGGCAGATCATTCTGTTAGATGTGTAAGCCCATCCTTATTCAGTAAAGCTAAAAATGTTACTGGTATATTTAAATGATTAATTTTTCTGAGTTGAGGACCTACTATCCTGATGGTTTACTTGCCTTTCTGCTGTTTCTTTTCAGAATAGCCATTACCTTCACACTGTATATTTTGGACACTAAATTTGTCAGATTGATTGTATTTCTTCCAGGCCTAATTAAGTGGCTAATAAAGCCAACTTGTCCTCTGTTGAGCAGTTTAACAGGATGAGACTGCACCTTTCACTCTATCAAACATAGATTTAAGCAAGTCTGTCTTTGGGGAAAGTGAGTCAACTTAAATTTGAGATGCTGGGTGAGCCCCCAAAAGAAAAATTTTATTTTTAATAGGATAATTTTATCAGTCTGTCTGAAAACGTAGAGATTGCTTGCTCTCTGAGAGTTCTGAAGTCTGTACCTATCTTAATGCTATGAACACTTTTACAGGTTTATGGTTGAATAACGATATCAAAATCGTCTCTGCATTTGTTTTATTAGTGCCATACTGTAGTCTTACAGTGGTGAGAATTGAAAAGCATTTGTAAATCCCAGGTATTTTTGCCTACTTTCAACTATCCAGATCTAACATGAAATTCAACAAAATGTTTTTAAAAGTCTCATCCGTGTAGTAGACTTTCAGTTCTCCTGAGGTTTTAATCTTAGGGAACAGTTCAGACTTCTGGCACTGCCACATGAGGTTTTGAGTAGATGTTGTCAGACTGTCACAGTGTATGGTGTTTTGCAGTGTTTTTTTTTTTTTTTCTTAATCCAATTTTATTTTGCTTTACATTCCCTTGAAGACACAGGGATAACATTTTTAGAGGAGCTAATATCACTTGCTTTCAGAAATGGTCTGTCTTGTTACGAAAAGACAGCCTTCTGGTTAATTTTGACTGCTTCAGCTATTCTTCATCATCTGTGTAATATAAATTTTGCTTAGGGATTGCCATAAGGTACTAAGTATCTTGCATGCTATATATATATGTGTATATAGATATGTGTGTGTGTATATATAGATATATGTGCACATATATGTATATTTAGACTCTCATCAGATGCTTATAGCTACTTTGTTTTTTTCCTTAGCAATCTATTAGTGCAGTTGGAAGGACAGATTTTGGTGGCAATCCTTAGCTTTAATAAAAGGAGTTACTTATGTTTCCATTATAAGCTGGTATTTTCAGCAATCAGTCTTATTTTAATAAACTTAAAATTGTTATGGGCTTGGATAGTTTTCCCATGATACTAATCTGCTGATAATAGTTGCCTTGTCTTGGGTAGTTTCGCTTCTTGCCAAAGGCAGTATAACAGAATTATGTGGAACTGTCATGCGAAAATGTAGTTACTTACTCTGCCAAAAGGAATTGTTGTTTATTTCTGTCTACTGCTTGGTTATCAGCTTTTTTTCCTATCTCCTATTGACAACATAATAATATAAGAGGACAGTGCTTCAGAGTACTTCTTCACGTCCTCAATGACAGCTTGCTTGCATAAGCTGCAGATACAGGGTAAGGGGAAGCTATGAACCAGTCCCACTACCAGGTAGCATTTTTTATGAAATCTAAGTGTCCAAAATTAGAACAGTTGTAAAATAACATTATAAGTAGGTTTTCCTTGCTGTGTGTGACAGAAAGATGGCCTTTTAGTTTTAAACCTGTAAGACTTTTTTCAGTCAGTAGTACTTGTATGACTAACACTGAAATGATTTTTCAGTCTTTTATTGATGGATTGACTTGATTATCATTTGTTCTTCTTTATCTTGTACAAAGAAAAGATGACCTAGTTCTATTTTAACACTTTCTGTTTTTTAATACTTCCTGTTTCTTTTTTGATAGCCTTAGGTTTTTTTATCCTGTATAGTAAAGTAGTTCAGGGAAATCTCTTTTAAGAGAGGCTAAAGTGGGTCGACCCAGGTCCTTCTTGTACAATATGCTGTTGGGGCTGTGAGGCCTGCAACCATCAGCAGATTTCTCTGCCATGAATTTATTCGGTCTCTCAGGAACTAAAGTTTATGTTCCATTTCATTGTCCAGTCACTGAGCATCCTGTGGTCTTTCTGCTATTCTTCACAGTTGGTCTTTGTCTTTGCGACCTCCAGTAACTTAGTAGTATCAGAAAACTTTGTCTTCCTGTTGTTTACCTACTTTGGGGGTCATTTATGAGTAAATAAAGCAGTATGGGCTTTATATAGTACAAATCCCACCAGAATTCTACTAGTGAAATTTTTCTGCTTTGAAAATTGACTATTTAACCATATCCTTTGTTTCCTCTCTCTTACAACATCCCATGCTGGGAAGCCAGCTCTTATTCCATGGCTGCTTAGCTTCCTTAAAGCTGTTGAGTGAGGCCTTGTTGAAAACACTTTGGGAATTGGGGTAGACTATATCTGTGGATAAGATCTCACCTATCTACGTTTTGTTGCAGCCACCCACACCCAGGACTTTGCTTTCCAAAAAGAACTTTATTCCACTATATCATATTTCCCAGTTCAAGATCTACTTGTTGGCATTTAGAAACAAAATTCACAGTAGCTTCTACCATGCTCTCTTTGAAAACCTGTATTTTTTCACAGCACTCAAAATTTGGGCCCAAACACATCCTTTTTTTTGAGAAAGACTAAATCTGAATTCATGTTCTCTCTGCTGCTGGGATTCACAAACGTGGAGCAAAAAACTCGTGGCAGAGAGTACATGGGCAAAATAATCTGAACATAAATTTATTGGATATTTAATGCATCTCCTAGATATTTTTAACACATTTGTTTTCCTTTTTTTATATATTTGGAACTTTCAATGTTTTTCCTATACTTTCAGAAGAATTTTTAAACAAAACATATCAAGATGCATTTTAATAAAAAACACAAAGAAATGTGAAGTAGGAGTCTGCTCCCTTTCACGTAGGAGCTTTCCACCTATGTATGCAATGATAGCATCTAATCCGTTAAGGAAACGTCAGTTTTATGGGGTTTCAATAATGTTGTAAAAGGTGAGCAAATAAAGAAAAGTTGATATTTTTCCTAGCACGAACTTCAACAAGGAAGCTCAAATTGAACAGCGCTGTATATAGCAAGTGCATGAAGCAGGTTCCCAGTCCCTGAAGTCTGGGAGCTTACACAACGTTTTGCTGGCCTTTAATACCATGCTGTAAATGAAGATTTCATGGGCATGAGAAACTTTGCTAAATAAGATAGTTTAAAGTATAAAAGTCATAATTTTCATTTGTCTTGTACGGCTAAAATATTCACTGTATTAATTACCTTTATTCCTTGAAACTAAAAAAAAAATAAAAAAGCTACTGGAAATGATGGAGTTGAGTATATTCAGGTTATTCAGTAGCTGTTCTTTAGAGACTTTATAATAGAGAAACTTAATATTTGAGTTTGATTTGAGGATGAAGGTAGGGATTTTTTTGATTGAGTTGGATTTTGGCAGGGTTGGGGGGAAGGAGAGGAGTAGC